TCAAAGTTTAATATTTTTCAAAAGTTACAGCAGAACCCGGTTCCTACATATGCAGGAACCGGTTCCTGCGAAGTTCAAAAATCACGCTTCTGGAAAAATATATGGGAACCCGGTTCCTACCTATACAGGAACCGGTTCCTACGTGCATTTTTTCCAGTTTTTATAAATTCACACAGTGGAACCCGGTTCCTCCCCACTGGGAACCGGTTCCCACGACCTGCAGAGTCAAATTCTGCACTTTTGACAGCATTTATTCATTCTAAACCAATTCCAAACATACCCATACGAATTGCAACATGAGAAACACCAAAACACATCCATTTTGCACCATTATAACATCAAACAACATTATTTCATCATTCCTTTTTATCATCTGACACCCTAATGGTTTTCAACCTACAATTCGACGCAATAGGGACAATTCTGTGGAACCCTAGAATTCCAAACCGGGATTCCCTAACATACTATGATCCATACTATTGAATATCTAAACCGATAATACGAATTAACTAATCGAAATCACCCCTTACCTTGTGGGTTCTTCGAATTCTGACGCTTCCGGTTTTCTTCTTCTTTTTCCTCTTCTCAAATGCACGTATGATGAATATTCCAAAATAACTCTCTTTCTTTTCGTTTTCCTTTTTAACACTCCTTTTATTATTCCAATAAAATAATTAAATTAGTAATTAGTAAGAGTAGAGTATTTTACCCCTCACACCCTCTAATCACTCTTCACACCACCAATACTTCTTTCCTTTAATTAATTAAATTAATTCCAATAATCCAAAAATACCAATAATTAAATTTACAATTAAATTAATAATTAAAAATTCTAATTATTTAATAATCGGATTATTTGGGGTGTCACACAGATCATCTGCGAGTCTATTCAAAATATGATTTTGTAGAGATTTTCATTCTCTTTCTATAAGGTGATTTCTTTACTATGCTGTAAATCATTCGCTTTAATCTGTGCAGCAGATTCAACTTCAATACTATTAAGTGTTCCTTCTAAATCTCCAGATTTACTACCGTTAGTTTGTTCGATTGATCCAGAAGGAGCAACAGAGTGTCATCGATCAAAACGTTAGCAACTTTTTTCAACATTAAGAACTTCATCTTTTGTGTCCAACGTTTGAAGTGACTTCTCTCAAACATGAACGACTTCTCAACGACAATATCCGCAAAAGAACCAATAATTTCTTCGGTAACCGTGGCAGTTTGAAACGTCTTAAAACTGTTGGATTCAGATTTTGAAATATTTGCCACCGAAGAAATTACCAGGTTGAGTCACAGACTAGGTCACTCTCTTTAAGACGTTTCACGGCACTGCTCAAAATTATGCAAAGCAGTCAAACTACCGCGCCGCCTCCAGGATAAAACAACCCAGTTCTATACTATACGATTACTACTTGCATGATAGATAATCGGTCTAGAAATACACCCTCTGATGGTACAAGACCATTCAATATGGTATCAACACCACTCGTAGTATTTGGTACAAAGACCAGTCATAATAATTTCTTAAACAAAAAGAAACTCAAATAATTCTTCAAAGAGAAATTAATAATGGTCATTTGACCACTCATAATAATTTCTCTAACAAAGAGAAATTCAAATAATTCTCCAAAGAGAATTCAAAAAATTAAACTTGAAAATTTCTCAACTCAAATGAGGAGAAATTAACATAATTCTCTAAAGAGAATTCAAGAAAATACTCGGAAAATTCAACGAGTAGGAAGAAAGGGGAAGAAGATGGCGCTTCGACAATTCGAGAGACACAGAGTTATGAGAGTGAGGAAGGAAAAACTAATAGAGTAGTTTTTGGTGTGATTTGGAATGAAACATATGCACTTACTTCTTATATAGTGAAGTAGGATAGTTAATATTTCTCACATGAGCAATGTGAGACTAAATGATTTTCTCAACCAAAATAATATTCTAACAATGTGGGACTTGAGAAATTTTTAAATTCAATATATTGAAACATGGACATGTTCCAACAATATATATATATATATATATATATATATATATATATATATATATATATATATATATATATATATATATATATATATATATATATATATATATATATATATATATATATATATATATATATATAATTAGTTTAAGAAAGATGAAATGTGAATTCAGATGCCATTTTGAACATATATAACTAATAGTAATGGTTAAATAGTAAATAAGAAGTATATACTGTTGTGACATGGACGATGTGGTTTGGGCAGTGAGGAGAAGTCAAGAATGTCACAAAATTAACAAGTTTACCATTATGCGGTCTTAAAACAGCAAGTGGTGTCGTGCCGCCTTGCGTTCTCCCCATATCTTCACCTATTGACAAAAACAAATTAATTACAAGTGCAAAATAAAAGAACAAATGACAATAAGACTTTTCTTCAAATATTCAACTCCACTATGTAATGCAATCTATGCAGCAGCACCAACAAATCAAATTATAGGCATGTTCCACGGTCAGACGCCGACACATACGATTACATTAATTTATTTTCAAATTATTAGTGTCGAAATGTGAATGTTTGTGCTTCATAGAATACAATAACTTGAACCACTTAAATGCAGGGTCAGAATTATATTATTTTCACAGATTCCAACAGCAAAAGAGTTGGATGTTGAAAATAAATAAATAAAAGGAAAGGGGTAAGGCAGGAGAGCGCCCTATGACTTATTAACTAGTTCATTTTCATATTTCTTGTGATACAATTACATGGTGATACTTCACCTGAGTTTTTGGTTTTGGGTTTAACATATTGTACTTAGATTAAAACAGTGAACCTATGACTTATTAACTGATTCATTTATAAATGCCCATCAAATTTGCACCTGATATAAAAGAGTGTGCTATCACATTTGTGGGACATGCTGTACATAGCTTAGCAACTACACTATATTACTTAGAGTTTAATACATAAATATATCATCTTAATGTTTCCAGTTATACTAAATACTTTGAGTAAATCCTATAACTAGCATGAACATGAAACTATTTACCATCAACGTAGAAAAGGGAAACAAACTACTGTCCAGTCTTAGTTGTTTTCCTATATTAGATCATAGAAATGTCAGGGTTGTACACAAAACAACTTCCTTAAGTTTATTTGGTTTACATTACCTTTAAAGTAGCTTATAACACCACATAGCAAACTCCAGCGTGCGCCCAAGTACTCATGTATACTCATCTCATAAAGGCTTTCCGAAGTCTATTGAAGCCTATATCCTAACCTGTAGCCGGTGCACTGATATCACCCAAAAGTTAGATTTCTATTAGAATTTCATGCAATAGTAAATAAAAACAATAAGGAATTATTCTATTCTAATCCATTGAATGACTAAATGCAACCAAAAAATTGTGGTCAATAAAATGACTTTTTACCATTTTTGTTATTTTCTCTTTATTTTCTTTTTAATTATCTTTAACCAATTAATTATCCATCATTTTGAAATATTTTTGAGTCTATCTTTTGAGATCTTGATCTTTGAAAATTTTCTTTCTCAAATTCTTTTGTGGGTTTTTATATTTGATGTTTTAGTGCATCTTTTGGATTTTCTCTTTAATTATTTTCTATTATAAACCATTGTAAATTCAATTTAAATATATATTTGATTGTTTTTGATGATTTGTGATTCTGACTTTTGGTTGACTTAGTCAATTTTGGTTGATTGAAGCTCATCTTATTCAATTGGACTTTAGATTGATGATTGATGAACATTCTTCGGTTCAAATCTATCATTAAATGATCATTTTTGATACTTTGAATTGATGATAAGTTTGTCTCAAGGTATCATGAAGGAGATGAATCAAAGTAATGATATAATCATTTGGCCTTAGTGCTTGATCAACTCTCCATCTTTTCCTTCTTATTCTTTTTCTTGATTTTGTTTTGACATGTATTATATATTTTAGGAGAATGAGTCTTGTATCATTTATCTAACATGTATGACACATATATTATTATTGTTTGACCCCAATCAATTGTGATTTCTACATAAATCTAATTGCGATTGTTTAACATGACGCTACATTGTCCTGAATCAATCGGTTAACTTCTAACATTAACATTAAATCTATATTATTGGGTTAACTTTTACTTTATATCCTCTACATTAATTGTCATTTATTTTATGTCTATTTATATTTTGAGAAAACATAGCATTATTCACAATTGTGTAAACATGTTTATTACCAAAAATCAAATTCATTGGATTAAACAATTTAGTCAAACTATATAATATTCTACTATATTGTAGAAATTTGATTAATTTTTCAAAAAAATATTAAAAAATATCAATTGAGCTACAAAAAGATGCTTTTTGACCAATGGCTATATAAACACATACTACATTTTGTCCCTGTTGATTGAGAGTCGTATCTGTAGTTATTGCTGTTTTATCAGTTTGTCTGTCCTCAATAATCAATTTTTGCCGGCCACGCCTTATAGGGATCATAGAATCAATAGCAATAAGTCCTGTTTGAAGGAGCTCATACACGGACCGTCTGGAAATAATACCGAGAGCGGAAGATTCGATGAGTTGAAAAAAATTGAAAAAGTTTAACAATTCAAAAACACAAAAGAAAGAGAAGGTGAAAAGAAAAATTCAGAAATAACCTTTAAGAAAGACACATGAATATTTCTTCTATGATGTGAGACTTTAAGTTTTTTCTAAAAAAGAATTCATCCATGTACCCATTTTTTTTTCATCCCAACATTAAATTTTTGGCATTTCTTAGCAAATTGTTCTAAACTAATTATTGTCATAATTGTTCGAACCATATCATAGACAATGGTGATGTTCAATATTTTTTAATATAAAATTTTAATAGTATAATTCATGGTTAGGGGCATGGTAGTAAATTAACTAGATACACTATAAAGAGAAAAGTAAAGCAAGTCTGAATTTGTGAAGCAAAAGTATATTTAAAATACCAATCTCTGAAATTTAATATTTTCAATAGTTATATGGATAAATTAAACACATCATCAAGTAGCTGGTTATCTGATTTGGTAAGAAATTTTTTAATACATCGTTCTTGAAGTGACAAATTGTTCTAAATTTCTATGAATTTTTTTCTGTTCCAGATGTTGGATGAAATGGAAATGGACGGTTGTGATTTGTTCCAACAAAATTTGTTTGATGATGAAGATTTATTCTCATATGACATAGGAAGTGTTCTTCAACAACAACAGCAACAACAACAACCTTTGTCTCCTGTTTCTTCTCATTCTTCAACCACTTCTCATATTTTGTCTTTTCAAAACACAACCACTACTACTACTACTCATTTTCATGCTTTTGATTGTGCCTTAAATACAAAGCAAAACGAGGTTGTTACAGAAGTTCCACAAAATGAAAACGTTGTTGTTAAGAGGTGTTTGGGTCATAATAGTGATAAATATCATATCATAGCAGAGAGAAAGCGAAGAGAGAAACTTAACAAGGGCTTAATTGCTTTAGCTGCTCTTATTCCTGGATTAAAGAAGGTATGTATCTTACTCTAATGCAAGGTTAAAATAACACTTGTTGTTGCGATTTCGATCGGTATAAGTGTTGGATTACGGTTGTTGCATTGTGAATTAACCTGATGTTTGGTAGTTTAGAGATTTTGTATTATGTTGTGAATCAATCATTCTACAGATGGACAAGGCTTCAGTGGTGGGAGAAGCTATAAAGTACCTGAAAGAACTCCAAGAACGTTTGAAGGTATTAGAACAACATAACAAGAATAGTCTTGTTGTTGAGTCTGTAGTGATGGACAATAAACCGAAGGTAATTCATGGGTCATGGAGTAATGATGGGTCTGAATCTCTCTCCCATGTGGATGCCAGAGTTTTGAACAAAGATGTTCTCATAAGGATTCTCTGCCAAAAGCAAAAGGGTCTTTTGTTCAAATTATTGGACGAGATTGAAAAGCTTCATCTCTTTGTTGTTACTAGCAATGTTCTACCTTTTGGGGATTCTATAAACATAACCATTGTTGCTAAGGTAACAAAAATTATTGTATTTTTTTCACGTGTCCCTTTCAATGTTTATAAAATTACTAGTAGTAGGAGTGTATAATATTATTTCTCTTTTCCACACGTGATTTTGCAGATGGAAATGGGGTACAACTTGACATTAAATGATCTTATAAAACACCTACGTGTTGCTGCATTCAAATTGTCGTAATGTGAACAAAGGTGTGGTCCCAGTGATGGGTACAAAAAATGCAACAATAATTAATTATAATCATGCATGTGCCTAAACACTTGATTCACATGTTAATGCCAAATTTGAATCAGTAAATGATATTTTATGCTCCTCTTGTCTGTTACGTGGCCCCCCACCTGTTGAATTATCAAGAGTACAACTCCATCTTTCACCCATCCATTTTTGGCATGTTTCACATTTTGTCTCTTATTTGTTTTTTTTTTATCTTATGCTTGTCTCCTATTTTCATTTCACCACTACTGTAGTTTATATATGGGTTGAATTAAAAGTTACTCGAAATTTCAGCTAATGACTTAATTTTTTTAAAAACAATTATATTGAAGATGAAATATTGTCTCCCCACTATGAGTTTGTAAGATAAAAAATGTTTCAAATAATTTATATTCAGAAGTTGTTGTTAAAATCAGAAGTTTCTGATGTATTTCTCAGAAGCAGTGTTGCTCAGAAGTATTTGAGTTTCTGAGGCTGTTAGTGTAAGCTTCTGAGACTGCCTAGTTAAAAACAGTAGTTTAATATATTCAGAAGTTGTTATTAGTCAGAAGCTTCTGCTTCTGAGGTTACGCCCAAAAGTATGTTTAACTTATGGGGTTCTAGTTATTTTGTTTACTTAGCTATTAAGTTTAGTTTGTTTAGTCTTTTTTAAGTTTACCTTTTGTTAGGGCCTATGTGATAATTTACTTTGTGTACAAATAGACCAGTGGTAACTTTCATAAAAATGTTCAATCATTATTCCTTACAACTTTATAGTCGTCATTGCAGAGCTTTAATATTATTCTCTCATATATTTTTCTTCATTTATTAATCTTGTGCACTAACAAATTGGTATTAGAGCTTCAGTTGGAATTTACGGAAAACACGGGGAAACACGAGTGAAACGGTGAGGCGTTGTATGATTAATTTTGGTTCTTGAATTCGTGTTGAATCTTGAACAAGAATCACATTTTTCCTGATTTTGTGGAATCGGAAAATACTGTGTTTGTGAGATATGAGTTACTTGCACAAGGTTGAAGATGACCATAAATGATAGTCTAAGCACCAAACTTTCAGTATTTAATGGCAAAAACTGGAATCGTTAGATGATTCAGATACGTGTGTTGTTTAGTGCTCAAGATGTTCTTGATCTCGTCAATAATAGTTATGTTCTAGTTGTAGCAGATGCGATAGAGAAACAAAGAAATGCACAGAGAGAAACAAGAAAGAAAGATCATAAGGCGTTGTTCTTCATCCATCAATGTGTGGATGAGAACGTGTTTGAGAAAATTGTTGATTCGACGATGACGAAGGCTGCGTGGGACACACTGAGTAGGTGTTACGGTGGTGACGCATCCGTGAAGAAGGTGAAGCTTCAGTCTCTCAGAAAGGAGTATGTGAATCTCAACATGAATGACAACAAGAAGGTTTCTGAGTACATCTCTAGAGTGCTTCTAATCACTAATGAGATGAAAGCTTGTGGTGAAACCCTTTTTGAACAAGTAATTATTGAAAAGATATTGAGGTCTCTTACTCCTCAATTAGATTACATTGTTGTAGCAATTGAACATTCTAAAGATCTCGACACCATGAGAATAGAAGAGCTGCAAAGCAGTCTAGAGGCGCAAGAGTTGCGTCTGACTGAAAGAACTTCTGAGAGGGAAGTTGAGCTGGCTCTGATTTTTTTGTCAAGAAGGACCAGAAGCAGAAAAAGCATGGTAGGTCTCAAAAGTCAGAAGTCTTTTATTCTAATGAGAAGAAACATCAAAAGGGAAAGGAGAAGTATGACAAGAGAATGGTTCAGTGTTATTGTTGTAATAGGTTTGGCCACTTTGCTAAAGATTGTTGGTCAAACAAAGAAGAAGCAAAAATAACCATAAGAGATTCTAATGATGAACATATGCTATTGATGGCTTATGAGTCTGATGAGGAACCTGTGAGATTTTCATATTTTGATTCTGAAGGAGAAGAAGATGACTCTGAATATTCTGACTTTGGAGTGTTTGAATATGAGTCAGAATCAGAGGATGACACTTAACATGCTGAAGATGAGTCAGAATCTGAGGTTTCTGAAGATGAGTCAGAGTTAGAAGATGATTTTGAAACTGAAGACAAGTCAGAATCTGAAGGTGATTCTGAGTCTGAAGAAGAATAAAAAAATGAGTCAGAATCTGAAGGAGATTCTACTTCTGAAGATGAGTCAGAACTTGAAAGTTCTAAAGGTGAGTCAGAGTCAGAAGATGAAGAATCTTCTGAAGACTCTGAAGATGAGTCAGATGGTGAATTTGATTCTGACCCAGATTTTAAATCTGGTGGTGATCATGCTTCTAGAAGGGAAAACTCTGAAGACGTAGATTCTGTAGGATAAGCTTCTGGAGATGATCATGTTTCTGGTGGTAATCATGACTTTGAAGTTGGACCTTCTGAAAGAGGAGAAGCTTTTGAAGGTGATCCAACTTCTAAAGGTAGTCATGATTCTGAAGGTGGAACTTCTGAATTCAGAGCTTATGAAGGCAATCCAACTTTTGAAGATGGTGCTTCTGAAGGTAGTGGTTTTGGACTTGGTTTAGAAGCTAACATAGGTGGAGATTTTGGTGGTAGTCAAACTTCTAAAGAAAGTCCAGAACGAGATATTGTTCTAAAATCAAGAGATTATGAACAAGTCTAGAGGCCACAAAGAATCAGACAAATATCAAAGAGATTTGTAGAGTTTGACAAGCTGCAAGATACTGAAGGGACTCAGAGGTATGAAGTGTTGTTCCCTTTTAGTGTTAAATCTGATTCAGAGCTGATATATTATTCAGACTTTGATTTGTATGAAGATAGAGTTGACAGAAGAAATACTTTTGGATATTTTTGTTTGTATTTGGAAAGTCTCATTTCTTGGTGCTTCAAAAAGTAACTGATGGTTACGTTGTCAACATGTGAAGCTCTCAAGAAGAAAGTGTGATTGAAAGCCATGAAAGAAGAGCTTGGTGTTATTGAAAGAAATAAGACTTTGGAGTTAGTTGAGCTTCCAAAGGAGAAGAAAAACATCAACGTCAGATGGGTCTTCAAGATGAAATCTGCATTTTTAAATAGAATTGAACATTATAGCAATCAAAAGCAACTTGCAGATGTTCTGACGAAAAATGTCAAGAATGAACACTTTATCTGTTTGAGGATGAGATTGGTGTTGTAGTTTTTTGGTTAGTTGAATATGAATTAATGGATGGTGTTGGAAGTAATTCATATTCAGAAGCTGTTTAGAGTCAGAAGCTTCTGATGTATTACTCAGAAGCAATATTGCTCAGAAGCAGTTAAGCTTCTGAGGTTGTTAGTCAAAAGTTGTAAGATTCTGAGACTGCCTAGTTAGAAGCAGTAGTCTTTGATAAATTCAGAAGTTGTTATTAGTCAGAAGCAGAAGCTTCTGAGGTTACGCCCAGAAGTATGTTTAGTTTCTGGAGTTCTAGTTATTTTGTTTACTTAACTATTAAGTTTAGTTTGTTTAGTCTTTAAGTTTATCTTTTGTTAAGACCTACGTGACAATTTACTTTGTGTATAAGTAAACTAATGGTAGCTGTCATAAAAATGTTCAATCATTCTTTCTTACAACTTTATAGCTGTCATTATAGAGTTTTAATATTACTCTCGCATATCATTTTCTTCATTTATTAACTTTGTGCACTAACAAAAACATAGTAACAAATAATAAAAACAGAAAAATATAGTTTGTATGATTTATTTTGTGTTAGAAAAATGTACATGTCTGGTAAAGATTTGTCTTCCTTGACAAAACTAATTAACTTAAAAAGAATTTAGTCTTGCTTTGACTATTTACACAAGCAATGCATGAGTTTTTCTGTTTCTAGGAATACATTGCGCCCCATATTCGGTTGGATTTTCCCGTTTCTCGGTATTCTCTTATTCATCTGTGCACAATGTCTCAAGAACGTAGTTTATATTGAGAATCAAGTGTGAGGAAGAAGTCCCACATTGATTATAAAAGGGAAGATTGGGCACTTATATATGAGAGAACCCACTCATCTATCACCTTAAGGTTTTAGATGGACAAGTGGTGTGTCTCTCACAAAGGTGTGTCCCAAGTAAAATGCTCTCTCCTCGGAATTGCCCCTACAGTGGTATCATGAGCCTTTGGTTTCGAGATAGGGACCGACTTACTTGTATCGAGCGATGGTACAAGTGTATGTGGAAGAGAGTCATTCCACATGAGGGGGAGCATTGTGACTCACACTTGAGGGGGAGTGTTGAGAATCAAGTGTGAGGAAGAAGTCCCACATTGATTATAAAAGGGAAGATTGAGCACTTATATATGAGAGAACCCACTCATCTATCACCTTAAGGTTTTAGATGGACAAGTGGTGTGTCTCTCACAAAGGTGTGTCCCAAGTAAAATGCTCTCTCCTCGGAATTGCCCCTACAGTTTATTGATCTTAGTCTTCTTAGTTTAGTAGTGATGTACATATGTAGCACTATTAAATTGCTCAATGATCAATTTCTATAAAATTTTGAATGATTCTAACACTTTTAGAATCTTTATAGGTCATAGTAGAACATGAAGAAAAAAATCGACTACACCATCTCACTTCTGACTTTATATTTACTAGCCTGCCATTGGATCAGATGAAGGAACATGGATAGATACTAATGTGCACGTTTTTCATTCTCGGTTAATATATTATTAGTATTTACTTCTTTTTGTAATGATTTATAAATATATTATATTTTTATACATTTGATAATTAATATATCTAGATTAGATATATTAATTGTCAAATATATTAAAAAATTAAATTAAATTATAAATCGTTATATAGAAAGTATTTTCAAATATAAACAAATGCCTTTATATGTTATTTTATCAATAAATTTTGAATTGTGAGATCATGCGATGTAAATAATTATTGCAAGTGAATAATATCATCATTGTATCGTAAAATTAAAAATTAGTATTACTCTTTCTGTTTCTTTCTAATTATTATTTTTTG